GCCGAATAATGTCTAACTGAGGAAGGAGGGGGCTTTGGAGGAGGGCGTGGAACTGGTGATGGACAGGGACGACCCGGAGGAGTAGGAGAGAAACACCATGGTGGTGTCGACGGTGGGTGGAGCTTCGGCTGAAGGGCTGAGCGAAAACCTGAGAGGCGATCGATGGTGGCGGGACCAGGGTGAGTGCAGGAACCGGCAGAGCAGAGAGGCCGATGGACCAGGGCAACTTCGATGGTCTAGAAGCCCGAGGCTGAGCTGGTGGCTCACGGGACTGAGGTGGCAATGGGGACTTGGCTGACCGGGGCGACGCTAGAGCTAGCGAGGATGACAGGGAGGAAGGAGGAAGGAGGAAGGAGGAAGGAGGAAGGAATGAGACAGCGTAGGGGTGGGGGGTGTAGGGACTTCTGGAATCCCGGAAGTCCATGGCGGAAAATGAGCGAAGACCGCCGGAGGCCGACCTGGAGGGACAAGTGAGCCCAGCGGAGTCTCAGGGCAGACGGGCCACGGAGGCGACGAGGAAGCATAGAGCCGAAGCGAGAGCGATGGGCTAACGGGTCGAGATGGGGACTTGGGACTGGAGGCCCGATGTGTACCCGGGGACTTCGGCTCATGCCGAGCTTGTGGAGGGGAAGCCCGAAGCAAAGCTAACGAACCGGACGGAGCAAGTGAAGGGGCAGAGCCGGGGAGCTAGACGACTCCAGTGGCACTGACGGATCCCGATGACTGGCCGTGACCAGCAAGGGAGATGGGACCAGAGAAGTCAGGCACGACCAGGGCATCCAAATATCCGGACGGGACCGGCGAAAAAGGCGAGAATTCGAGGTTGTGGATCTGGGTGGGAACTGGATCCACAGGACACAAATCTATCAGGTTCAGGACCGGATCTGGGGTGGACTGATCAGGGCGCTTAGACTCCAGGGCATTGATGGTATCCGGATCTGGTTCCTGGACGAGCTTCATGGGTTCCTCGGGCTCGCTGGCTGTGAGGGAGAGGCTGTCGTCCCAGAGCATCCAGCCCCAATACCCCAGCAACCTTCGGTTCTCGGGGAGGAGGAGGAGGAGGAGGAGGAGGAGGAGAAGACCCAATGCTGGTGAGTCCATAGTTTACTTGTTTCAGAGGGTCGGTTATTGCCATACTTGAACATACTTGTAATATATATATATATATATATATATATATAGGCCTATACAAATAACCAAGCACTAGGAAAATATAAGTATCAGGAAGTTAAAGCTATTATAATACAGCTTTTTTAATTAAAATGACCTTTTTTTATCCTTCCCCAAATCATCCATGGGACAGACAGGTTCAGAATAAAGATTAAATGGTGCCCTGCCGTGAGTGTGTTTACAAAGCTCACAAATGGATGTTGAGTGTGTGTACATGATGCTCAGCTAATTACAGGAGTTTCTGTGTAGATTGGTGACAAAGTGCTGTGTCAGTAAGCCCAGACACTTGTTAAACGGTTGTAAAGAGCTGGTATGTAAGGCAACATTCAGGTGCTTGTAGACTGTCTGATTCACAAGCAAACAAACCTTCCAGCCTGCTTAATTACAGCCAGATGTTCATTCTAAACAAATTAACTGTAACATTCTGAACTTGCTGTAAATGGTGTTGAGCTAGTACTCTGGGGGTGAGCGGGGCACAACCTAACGCGGGGCTAGTTGTAACACACGTGCTAGCATGACGAAACTTAGCGTATTTACTAGTTGCCATATCAACACTAGGCTACATAGAGAAAAAATTGTGCCACAATTCAAAAATGTTCGGAAGATATCACTGAACAATTATATAACCATAGCAAAAGTAATTTAAAAAGTAAGTTACTTTTTCATCTCAGTTTTTAGTTTTTTTTTTTTAAAGCAAGACATCTGCTGTTATTTTAATTTGCCCACATTGTTTTGAACAATAACTATGTACTTATTAGAGATGTACTTAAAGGCCCACTGAAGTGCCTTGAAACGTGCAGCATTACACAATTTCCTGAAACAGGAAGACAAGGCGGGACATTTTGGAAAGCTCCTCCCTTTTTTAAAATAACCAATAGCTTTTAGTTTATATCACAGTTCAGCCAGAGCCGTTGAGCTTGATAAAGCCGCAGTTTCCTGCTAATCTCCTCCATATCGCTTTAAAATACAGCATTTTGTGCAGAATTCAAATGGGTTTGATACGGTTTCTGGTCTGCTTGACTCGAGATATGATCCGCTCTGTGCTTTCGTGCGGTGGTTTGAGTGACACTAACATGAAACTAGACTTCATTCGCCCCAATGGAAAGCATATTTACACTATCTGAATCGTTCCCTATCCCTATGTGCCATTCACCATGTAGAAAATAATAAATGTGTGATTCAGCGTCTAATCGTAAGTTCGGGGGCGGTGCTTCAGATTATAGATAGCATTTGATTGGACAGAAAATATGATGAGAAGCTGATATCATCAAAATCATTGAACCATATTGGCGGAAGTGAGAGACTAAGTTTTGAACGCGGATATCTTCTAAAATGTGAATTTTGTCTTTTTTTTTTGAGCAAACTAGCTTATAGACAACAGTAAGGCTAATATATTCATACTAAAAGCCAAAACATTTCAATTTTGATTTCATGGGGACTTTAATAAATTTGACTTAAAGGACAAGTTCGGTATTTTACACTTAAAGCCCTGTTTTAAGATCGTTTCCGATGAAATAGAACGGTTAAGATTGAAATTTGGACACATGCTGCTGGCCTGAGAATTTTCGGTTTCTGTGGTCCTTCATAAAACGCATTAAACTTTATTTTACAAAGACGTGAAACTCACTGGGGGAGGTAGGTGGGGAGGCTAATGCCAGGTATGGGAATTTAACTCCAACCCTGATAAAACTCACCTACCTGGAGCTTTCTAGCAGAGATGGACTTATTATTGGGAGATTCGAGGGTCCGTGGCTCTTTGATTCAAGAGAGCGTAACGGCTAACATGGATCACGTGTGCCTTGGTAACCAATCACATTACAGCCTTGACGTCATTGACTTTCGTTCAGAGTTATGCGACAGTCGATTACTGTTTGCGGATATTGTCCGTAAATTTCAGGGGGTATAAACTCTAAAAGTAGATACATTCAAAATGAATGTTTAAGAGCAAAAATGTTGAAGATTAGCCGATGGGTTGTCGCTTCATTAAATTATAAGCTATTTCATCACAAAACTGGTTAATTCAGCTTAGTGATGCCTCTCCTCCATTGACATCCATTCAAAGAAAATGGCCTCTTGTCTCCTTCCCTGCAAACCGCAGTGTTAGCATGTGTTACGCTTTTTCCGGCTAAGGTTGCAGGCTTGCCTTCGAGTGTCTTTGTTTCTAGTAATCCTGAAGACATTGATTAGCTTTTTCAGGTGTGTTTGATTAGAGTTGGAGCTAAACTCTGCAGGACAGTGACCCACCAGGACCGAGTATACAGAAAATGAAGTATACCCAGGCCAAAAAGTACATGGGTGGATCTGAACCAGAACTTTTTTATACACAGTGTTATTAACCAACATAGAAACAGATAAACATTTGGCTGGTTTTATTAACACTTCTTTCACAATGTAAGTAAACTGTAAGTATGATACGTTCAGTTAAAGAAAGTATACTTTCAGTATAATAACTATTAAACTGTTAAATACTTAAAGGAACACTCCGACTTTTTGAAACTTTAGCCTATTCACCTTATCCCCCAGAGTTAGATAAGTCCATACATACCTTTTTCATCTCCGTGCGTGCTGTAACTCTATCTGACGCACCCACCGCTAGCCTAGCTTAGCACAAAGACTGGATGTAAATGGTTGCAGCTAGCATACTAATCCAAATAAGTGACAAAATAACGCAAACATTTTTCTATTTACATGTTGTGATTTGTATAGTCACAGAGTGTACAAAAAACAAAGTCACATGAGACACAGACATATTTTAACCGTATAAATACTGGGAACTATATTCTCTGAAGGCGAAGCACTGCTACTTGGGCGGAGTGATAACCGCAGCACCTGAGACGCGCCGTGGTGAGGAGCAGAGAGCGCGTCTCAGGTGCTGCGGTTATCACTCCGCCCAAGTAGCAGTGCTTCGCCTTCAGAGAATATAGTTCCCAGTATTTATACGGTTAAAATATGTCTGTGTCTCATGTGACTTTGTTTTTTGTACACTCTGTGACTATACAAATCACAACATGTAAATAGAAAAATGTTTGCGTTATTTTGTCACTTATTTGGATTAGTATGCTAGCTGCAACCATTTACATCCAGTCTTTGTGCTAAGCTAGGCTAGCGGTGGGTGCGTCAAACAGACTTATAGCACGCACGGAGATAAAAAGGTATGTATGGACTTTTCTAACTCTGGGGGATAAGGTGAATAGGCTAAAGTCCCAAAAAGTCGGAGTGTTCCTTTAAAAGCGTCCTTTCATAAACTAAAAAGATAACTAGACGAATATAGCTAGTAAACTAACAGTATGCCTATAAGATCTTGTTGTATACTTCACAGAGTAGTTGCAATGGAAAATAAAAATGTGTAAACTAGTTGTGTCCTCAAAGACTACGGTTACACTTTTTAACAAAAAAATGGGCTTATTTAGTCCCAAGAAGTTCTGAAATAGTGGAAAATATACTCAAACTTTAATTGAGTTGACGTATATTTTTATTGTAAGAATCTGCGGAAGGAAATATGGGTTACTCTTTATTTTGACAGTGTGTGTACTTACAGTTACAACATGGGTTAAGGGGTTCAGGGTTAGTACGTAGTTATAACCCAGTTAATGTAATTACTATAATAAGTAAATAGTATGGTACATGCGGAACAGGACTGTAAAAAAAATAAGTGCTACCGAAATACGAAATATTTAGATTATGTTGTCAGAATAAACATATAAAGATGCACAGTGGCACCAAATATGTCTCAGCGACCTTGAGCTTTGGAAAGGCGCTATATAAATAAAACTCCTTCTTCTTCCAATGCCGTGCTAAATGCTGGCAGATTCCCTGTTTCCACTAAGTGATCAGTACTTTGTAGCAGAAACTGCTGATAACCACACATATCATAGTGAAAAAGGAAATTACAAGTTTACAGCATTTCCCATATGAAAGCAAGAAAGCGATTCCAAGAAGCAGCATATAAGACAGAGATCGGTGTATTTCTGTAGTCTATGACTTGACTTGAATGTATGCAAAGGGTGATGTTTACCTGGTAAAAAGGGAATGATTCTGCGTTTAGGATCCTTCTGTCCACCTTCCACAGGGAATTTATCCAGAAGCTCCATCTGGAAAACAATACAGAAAAACTTAACATTAATGTGAAAAGACAACTCATGATGAAAAATGTATTGCAGGACTTGAATGAATCAATTAGGGATTTGACTGGATATTGAGAACAAGAAGTCACTGATTACAATCCAACAATTGATATTCAACAAGTGGCCATTCCCCCTCCCGGCGTGCTCTAGATCTACTGACATAGTGGGACATTTTTATACCCAACACCTCCCTCCGTTAATACTCAAGTCCAGAATACCCTGTGATGCTCACTTACAGCTATACGTTATTTTTCTTTGCTGGCACCAATTAACATTTTCCTCCCATCTGTGGAGATTTGGTAACAGGCCCTTATTCCAGTCCAAAAGCAGCTGCGGACCAATGAAAGCACACCTGTGCCTTTCCAAAGTACGTTAAAGTAGGTCATATGTGCATTTTACACATTCATTCACTAATGACTATAGCAGAGCTTGAATTCATCAGCTGAGCAACGTTTTCCAGCACAGCAGTTCTGAAATATGCAAGGCCCAACAATTTACTTCTAATGCAATACCCAACATAAGGCTAACCAGTGAACCAGGATTATTGGAAATACGTGGCTGTGATGACATTTCTGCCAAATGAATGATACTTAGTTGTTTCTTGCATATCATGCACTATGATAAAAGTAGGGATGCACAATATATCGGCCACCATATCGGTATCAGCTTCATTTTTAATGTTATCGTTATCGGCCCGATAAGAAAATTTGGCCGATATATTAAAGCCGATAAATAATGTATTATTTCCTCCAGCTGAGACACTGTTCGACATGATGGTTTTGAATTGCTAGAAATATGATTGGAATCACTTCAAAAAGGAAAATACAGTAAAGTGCAACATGTGCAATGCAAGTCTGTCATATCGGCTACATAAAATTATAAGAACATCATTATAATTGTGCTTGGGACATTGCTTTTAATGATGAGACTTCTATTTTTGTAATCTCAAAATTATATAAAACTTTGGATTTAGATTTTTATCGGCTTTAAAATACTAAGAATTATCGGTATCGGCCAAAATTTCATATCGGTGCATTCCTAGATAAAAGTGATTTGAGGCCAGTGTAATAACCGCATGAACATTCGATAATCTACCCCTGTAATAATAATTGGTGTGAGAAAGACTGAAACTGTATGTATAGGTGTGTTATTGAGTTTTTACACAAATCTATGTAGAGGCAAGTTTTTCCAATGAGCCTAAGTTTGGCATTTCAGATCACATAAATTCTGTTGTGTGATTAATTTTTCTCATAAATATAATGATGACTTATACAGCATGTGTAATGAGTTGCAAATGGCTGAGGGGAACTGCATGATGCAAGTCTAACTGAACAAATAAAAACAACAGATGTAATGAAAATCGAAAGCTTCACTATTTTTTAACATAGACTTTCGCCGTAAACATCACTAAAGGAATGCAGTGGCACATTTAAAAGTTAAACATTAATAGTGCCGTAGTTCTCACTCTTGTCTTTTCGAGACGAATGACGAAGCAGAGAGAGACTGTCATTCTGCCAGACAAAGCTTTTACTGTTGTTGGCCGATTCGTTAAGCGAAGGCACAATGTCTTCTACTGTGACTCAGCACCATCTGAATGACGGCACATTGATAAAACTCTTTATTTTCTCTTTCGCACAGACAAATGAGCTGCATGGGTCCATTACAGGGCAGCGTCTGGCTCTTCTGAGATTTAATTTTATAGCTCCACATAACCGTTTCAAAAATACAACTTGAAAGCTTCATAATGCAAAGGCCTTGGTAGACCAGTGGTCTCTCTCCGACACAGTGTATTAGACTTCAGCAGGCCTGAGAGTCATATAAATGCCCTCGATTTTAATAATGCTATTTTACATTTTAAAATTCAAATGTGTCCGATATGTTTTCTGTTCTGCGATATGACTTGCATGATCCGCTCTGTGTCGTGTCTCTAGAGCTGCGGTGGTTTCGAGTGACACTAACATGAAACCAGACTTCATTCGCCCCAATGGAAAGCATATTTACACTGTCTGGCTCATTCCCTATACCATATATAGAGCACCAAGTGCCGTTCGCCATGTAGAAAATAGTAAATGTGTGAGCAAGTGACCGATTTCAGCTGCAGCTTCAGCGTCTATTTATAATGTAGGGGGCGGAGCTTCAGATTCTAGAGAGCATTTGATTGGACAGAAAATCTGAAGAGAAGCTGAGTGATGTCATCAAAACCCTTGATCCATATTGGCTTAAGTGAGAGACTAAGTTTTGAACGCTTATATCTTCTAAATGTGAATTTTGTAATTGTTTTGGAGCACACTAGCTTATAGATAACAGTAAGACTAACATATTCAAACTAAAAGCCAAAAAAACGTCAAAAATTTTGATTTCATTGCGACTTTAATTAAACGGCAGCAGGTTCATTGGGAAGATGTCACTTTAAGACCTCCCAGATCTAATATACAGAAACGCATCCGGTTTCCTCCCAACTTACATTCACTTAAGACATAGCCGACTGTGTTTATGTAAACCTTATGTGTATTTGACAGTTTAAATGCAATTATAATAACTTAATAACTTAGTTTAGAACTCACAAGCTGTTTGACAGGCTTTTAGTGTGTGCACGCTTTGGTTGGTCAGAACAGCATGCGAATACAATGTTTTAAGTCTCCCTGTAGTCCATCATTTTATCCCTTAAAACTCATCTTTCATCACCAAAATGACATATTTAAACAGTTTAATAAAAAATGTAACTCGACACCCTTGCCTCATTTAGTATACGCGGTTCTATGAATATGCAAATGAGCCCCGCCTCCACTCACTCACTCAGCTCAGAGATCCACTGGTTGACGATCACACGTTGATCTGATTGGTTACAAGGTCGTTTGTGACGTCAGAAACACCAGCGATTTCAAACCGTGTTTTTGAGACTGTCTTTGGTCCACTGCAGTTTTAAGGAGAAAATACTCAGCAATGGTGTCTTCTTCATCTCATGTGAGTGTATATAATTTTAATGAATTTATGTATAAAACTTTTTTTTCTCTTGCAAAAAATGCCTGAGTACACTGATTCCATAAGTCACTGTTTCCTACGCATTGTACGTGGAAGTGCAAATCAAATTTAACAACTACTGCAAAGAGTTTTCAGTTAACCTTGGTTTAAATTCATTACTATTTTTGACACTTTCATTCCATTCCTCTTCTCTTTTTTGTGGACATAAACAGTGTCTGCATTCTACAAAAGAACTAATGCTATGGTCTACAAAAGAAGGAAAGTCATACAGGTTTGGAACGACAAGAGAGTGGGAAAATAATGACACTGGGGGAATCAACTATTACTAATAATAATAACCCGGTTCACTAACCCTGCATTCACATTTCCACGAACAAATCATGATTCATCGACAACTTTCATACAAAAATGTAAAATATAAATTTCCAGGGAAAACGGAAGGAACAACTGAAACCACATGTACGTAAATATTACAAACTCAGGGTGGCCTTACAGACACACGGGAAAAGAGTAAGAGAAGGTGCATTACAGCTTGAGCTGCAAAGTTTCTTTACATTTATGTACAATTCGCCTTTGGCTAAGCCCCGCCCCCCTTAGTTACTGTTGCTACGTCCGACAAACAAACTTCATCTGGGCTCTGGTATCAACATGGCGTATGCTGTGACAGCTCTTCCTGCTGAAATTTTATCAAACTTGTATTAAGCAGCAAATAAAGTGTCCGATAGAAGTAGGCAAAAGGGGCTGCAATATACGTTCGAAGGCTATATTCACGACATACAGGTGAAACGCAAGGAACAAGGCATCCAAATAGAGGCAAAAGCATACCGGTCACAGTCAAAAAATGAACCACCGCATATCCTACTAATCGAGACGGAGGCTGGGACTAACAATATCTGTTCATGCAAAGCTGGGTAGGTCTCTATTCACTTCTATAATCGTTATTACAAAGCAAACGGACTATGCGAGTATAACGTTGTATTTATTAGCAGCGTGTGCTAGACGACACTTGTCAGGGAAGGGAAAAAAACGCACACCCCCCTCCAATACTACAAATTCCCCAGGCACAACGTTTAACCATATTTTTGATAAAACTACGACGGTAATAGCCTGCTGAGACCAAAAATATGAGACGCCTGTGTTAAAGTCAATGGAGCGCTGTGAAAAAGTGTCGGACCTCTGTGGGAGCTCGTTCTTGGCTGCGCTGTGATTGGTCAATCTACATTCTAGGGTGTGGCTTAGCCAAAGGCGAATTGGTGTCAGAGGTCTGTAATCTGGGTATAAAGGGTGTTTACCGGGGCATTCCTCGAGGTTCTTGCTCTCAAGCTAAAGAGCTTCTTTAGAGAGCATCCTCTCTTTGCTGAGAGAGATGAAAGGCTGTGCATAAAACCCTTATCTGGAAATGGTTTGGGCGTGTTATACGCAAATTAATAACCTTGCTAATTTAGAATACTCCAAATTCATTAACATTAGAACAAGGTTAAAGCTGCAGTCCGGCATTTTTCCTCTTTGTCGCCATCTTTGTTCGAAATCTGCAATTGCAGTCATTCGCGGAATTATCAACTTTACGTGGGTTGTAGTTCAACACCCTCGACACGGCACAGCGCGGATGAACACAGTGTTTGAGGAGAGTGTGCAGCTGTCAGTCACCGCGCCGATGTGGATAATTGCATTCAGAATCACAGATTATTCTTTTTGGAAGTGTGACCAACATAAGAATTTTCACTGGAAAATGTCATCTGAACTAGTAAGAAACATTCACTTTTGTTCTGGTTCTGACATTGCAGTAAATCGCGCTGATTAAATCTAACAATTGCTTATAAGTTATCATTTCACGCAAAACCGTGCAAAGTAGCTATACTATGTTCTCTAATTGTTAATGTTAACAACGTCAGCAAGCATTGCGTGACTACATCATGTGATGTCCTTCCGATATTATCCTTGTTTTCGCATGGGTCCGGTTGCAGTCTCTTTTTTTCTGTAGCCAC